TGTGGCTTTGCAGGGTACAGCCTCCCTCCCAGCTGCTTTCATGGGTTGGTGTTGAGTGTGTGTGGCTTTTCCAGGCACACAGTGCAAGCTGTCAGTGGATCCGATGAAAGACATACCTGGGACTGGAAAGAAAAAGAGGTTTAAATGGACTTACAGTTCCACATGGCTGAGAGGCCTCAGAATCATGGCAGGGTGGTGAAAGGCACTTCTTACATGGTGGCGGCAAGAGAAAATGAGGAAGAAGCAAAAGTGGAAACCCCTGATAAACCCATCACATCTGGCGAGACTCATTAAGTATCACAAGAACAGCATGGAAAAGACTGACCCCCATGATTCAATTACCTTTCCCTGTGTCCCTCCCACAACATGTGGGAATTCTGGGAGGCATAATTCAAGTTGAGATTTCACCACCTGTGATGATTTCATCAAAATGACTTTCATTCTTCTGAGTTTGCTGAAGCCACATTTAGGTACTGAGAAGGAGTCTTGTAAATTTTCTCTTTTAAAAAAAAAATATATATATATATGTAATATATATATATATTAATATATATATCTCATATATATGTAATATATATTAATATATATCATATATATATTATATGATATATATATATAATATGATTATATGATATATATATCATATATATAATATATGATATAATATATGATATATAATATATCATATATATTATATATATATGAGATTTCAGTGGGGTCATAGCCAAACCATGTCAAATATGTTTGATTCTAATATATCATGGAGTGGTCTCATTTGGAAGGACTCTAATTTTAGATTTTGATGTTCCCATACTTGGATATTTGTATCTTTTTGCAGGTTTGGAAAGTTTTCTGTTACTATTTTTTATTCTTTAAAAATAAGTATTCTACTTTTTCATCTTTTTTTCTTTGTCTAACTTGTATAACTCAATCATTTGATCTTTTTACCTGTCTCACAAATTCTGTAAGCTTTCTCAATTCCTTTTCATTGCCTTGTTTGGGGGGAGTTTATAGAAATGCAAAATGCACTGGGACGTCTCAGCAATAGAATCAATCAAGCAGAAGAAAAATCGTCAGAGCTCAAAGATAAGGTTTTCAAAATAACCCAATCCAACAAGACAAAAAAGAATTAAAAAAAAAATGAACAAAGACTTTGAGAAGTTTGGGATTATGTTAAATGACCAAGCCTAAAAATAGTTGGCATTCCTGAAAGAGAAATCTAAAGGTCTGGAAAACGTATTTGGGGTCCTGGCGTTGCTAGAAATGTACACATCCAAATACTAGAAGCTCAAAGATTACCTGGGAAATTCATCACAAATACATTATCAACTAGGCACATGGTCATGAGGTTATCTAAAGTCAAGACAAGGGGAAGAAGAAGAATGTTAATAGCTGTGAGACAAAACCAAGTGGTAATCTATAAAGAAAACCTATCAAATTAACAGCAGATTTCTTAGCAGAAACCCTACAATCTAGAAGGGATTGGGGCCCCATTTTCGGCCTACTTAACAATTATTGGCCAAGAATTTTGTATCTAGTGAAACTAAGCTTCACAAAGGAAGGTAAAATACTGAGTGAATATGCCACTACCAAGCCAACACTGCAAGAATCACTAAAAGCAGCTCTAAATCTTGAAACAAATCCTCAAAATACATCAAAACAGAGCCTCCTTAAAGCATAAATTCCACAGGACCTTTTTTCTTTTTTTCACTTCTCTGACTATATATTTTCAAATAACTTCAAGTTCACACATTTTTCTTCTGCTTGATCAAATCTGCTGTTGATAATCTTATTTTTCATTTCATTCAGTTTTTTCTAGCTCCAGGACACTGATATTTTCAAAGTTTCAATTTGTCTATTAAACTTCTAATTTTAGTCACTTACTGTTTTTCTTGTTTTCTTGAATTGTTTTTTTCTTGAAGTTTGCTAAACTTCCTTGAGAAAGTTATTTTAAATTCTTTCTCAAGCAGATTATGCAGCCTTCTTTCTCCAGGGCCAGTTATTATTACCTCATTTTTGTCCATTTATTGATAACATGTTTTCCTCATTGTTCTTCATCCTTGAGGGCACATGTCTATGTTTGCCCATTTGGAAAGGTAGGTACTTACTCCATACTTCACAGACTAGATTGTGGGAAAGTCCTGTGCCAGGCATAGTGCTAGGGCATGACAGAAGCTTGGGGCAGCTGCAGTTAGTACAGAACTGAAAGCAGCCTAGGGCTTGCCATGGCAGGCACAGTGCCACAGCGTTCCTTAAGACAAATATTGGTGAGGCCTATATGTTGTTGAGTGTTATCTGAAGCCTGGAGCCACAGAAGTTGAACCTGCAGTGGTGGAAGCCAGATATTAAATTTGCCATGCATGCCTGAACCCTGCAGCTGTGTGGTTCTTCCTGGCACTGAAGTGAGTCTAGAGGCTCAGTGTTTGGCTACCAACATGGAATGTAACTCTTTGGAAGTTTTGCTAGTGCTGGTTTTTACTTTGGAGGGTCCAGTATTGGGGAACATGCAAAGTCCTATGCTCACATTTTTCTCTTTGCCCCAAATGATTTTTTTCTGTGTTTGTACTGTGCTACCTAGGGCGAGGGTAATGCAGATAATGTAAAACTCTTCTTCCGACCCTCTTTAACACTTTATTTCTTATTATTGTGCTGCAGGAAGGTACTAGGATATCTTACTTGGGTTTTTTTTTTTAGCTTTTGTGAAGGTATTTTTGCATGTGGATAGTTGTCCAGTGATGTTTCTATGTGGGGGTGATTGCTGGAGGGTTCTGTTCCAACATCTTTCACTCTCTCTGAAGTCAAACAGACTATTATTACCAGGTCTGAGCTGTCAGAGGATGGTGAAGCATGTAGACTTGGAAAGTTCTCCATCATGGGACAAATCTCCTGGACTTTGAATACATGTGTGGAGCCATACTTTCAACATTTCTCACTCTGTACTTTTTATTTCCTTAAGATTCAAGGTGGGTGTTCTGGAGACCTATCTGCAGAGTGAAGAGTAGACATACCTAGCCTTCAAGTAGAGAATTATTTCTAAAATATTATTTGGTTTGTTTATTCCCTGCCTATTAAGAATTTCACACTCTTTCAATTGCCTCGGTATAAAATTCCAAACTCTCCTTACAAGATGCAAATGCTCCAAGTCGTGGTTACTTGCCTATTATATCCTAACGCCATAGCTTGCTTTTTTACTCAGATTTGTGTTTCTAGGCTTTTATCCTATAAATTATATTTCCCAGTTTCTTTGACTAGGTAGCTTTCTAATAGGTTCTATTAACAGGAGATTCTAGAGTAAGATCAGAAAATGTGAAGAAAGAAAAAGACTATTTGTTTTTCTGAATTCAAGCCTTTGTCATTCAATACTCTTTGAATGTTAGTGATCAGTTACCATGAATGCCTCGTGGTATTCCCAGCACCAGCATGTCTGGGCTTACTCAGAGGTACCAAAAGCAAAGAAACCATGCCTATTGTCAAGCAGAGCACCAGCCACACTGATCTCACATATCCACTGGGAAACAAACTCCCCCTTTTCTGTTGCCATAGCAGGGTGCTTTCCTTATAGCAGCTTGTGGGGACCAGGCCACTTTTTCTGTGGTTTAAACAACCTCTTTTTCTGTTATTTAAACAACCACTTTGTTTATACAAGCACTAGCAGTGCAGAGTTCCCTCTGAACACACAGCTCATTGCACTATTCCTTTGCACCATTAGGTTCTCATAATGACACCTCTTTCCTTTAGTTCCTGACACCTCAGTTTGAAAATTATTCTTGCAATTACTGGTTTCTGAATATTTACAGGTATACTTTTTTGCTTTTAGCTAACCAATATATAATCAACTCTATTAAACACTGTCTACTTAAAACATATAAGTGTTGTGAGGTGATGGTGAATGATTAGCAACTGGCTGTCTGATATGGATAGAGTAAAGGAGAAACATTGATTTATAGAACTTGCTATTTTTAAGATGTAAATACTCTCATTGTGTCTGATTCAAACTACAAATGTGTACTTGTCTTCCTAATCTGTATTTTGACATCACAATACACTTAACATTATAAGCCCATTTCAGCACACACTTTGTTTTCGGTGTTCTGACAGGACCATTAATGAAGTAGTGATGGATACAATAAGGTCAGAAAATAGACCCTTGAGGATGGGAATCTGAGACTGCTATGTTTTAGAAAGTGGCCTTTGCATCATATTGAATTTCTTTACAAGAGAAAAAGGTCCACGGGGAATGTGACATGTGCTGGTATGTTGATGAATTGAACCATCACTGCTTACATAGAATGAAATGCCTGAGGAAGAGCATGCTTTGTCTAAACAAGTGGTTGCTGTACATGACCATTAGAGTGATGACAGCTAGTAGTGGACTAGGATGGCTATGTTATGATTGAGCTGCAGAGTTTATAGAAAGAAAATTGCAGGTTCAGGAAGAAAAGCTTCAGCTCAAATTACACTAATAGAACCGGAGTTATTTTTGGTAGACTTCTTAAAGTTACAAAGTAAATGTGACTAAAAATAACTGATGTTCATGTGATTGAACATGTTTAAGAATTATAGTGTAATCCAAAGACTGGTCAAGCATCTATTACTAACAACCAGAGCCTCTTTGGGGAAGTGGATTCATGACTTGGATGTTCAAATATAATTGAGACTTATGATTCCCCAAGATATCCTGGGCCTCCAGTTTCAATGAAAATGATAAGGATTGAATATTTTACTTCTCCAAATCTCAGATTGAAATATGACTACCACTGTTGGAAGTGGGGCCTCATAGGAGGTGTTTGGATCATGGGGGTGGGGTGGATATCTCATGAATGGCTTGGTCCTCTCCCCGCGATAATGAGTTCACAAGAAATCTGGATGTGTAAAAGGGTCTGAAACCTTTCCCTTCTCTCTGTTGCCCTCAGTCTCGCCATGGCTCCCCTTTTGCCTTCCGCCATGATTGTAAGCTTCCTCAGGCCTTGCCAGAAACAGATGCTGGCACTATGTCTTGGGTATAGCCTATAGAACTGTGAGCCGAATAAACCTCTCCTGTTTATAAATTACCCAGTCTTGGGTATTCCTTTATGCAAAACAGATGGGTACAGGAAAGAACTTACTTTTCATCTTTACATAATAACATTGTAACCTGTCATTAGGAAATTCTTCAAAAGAGAATGTTCATTCTTCTGAAGATACAGTTCTTCTACTCCTTACTACTTCTATAACTAGAATCATATATTAATATGCTGTAAGGGTTAAGTAAAAAAGGTGACACAAGAAGAGAGTTTATTCTCAGTAATAGTTGAAAAGCTGTACTTTGTTTATGAAGGCTTATGGAAAAATGTGTAGAATCGGATTATAAAGATGTTGGAATAAGAAGAAAAATATAAAATTTCGAGTAAATTGTCTTTCTAGGTAACTTATCAGATTCTAGATGTTACATGTTAGTTCAAACATTGGAGAGTGGCTGAAAAAATTTGTATGGTGAATAGATTGAAATCTGTGCACAATAGTGAATGTTATTCTATGCAGTTAAGTATCAAAACTTCTCTGATACAACAGAAAAAACTCAAATGCTTAGGATGATAAAAAAGTTGTAACTCATTCTTTATGAAAAACCTGGATAGATATACTCAGTAGGAATCAGAAGAAAATTGCTTTACTACAGAATTGAGAAATGCATTCATGGAGAAATAACAGCCAGCTTCTTTATAAAGTTCTGTGATTGCTGCGACCTTTAGTTTGGGATGATGTTAGGAAATGAAGGATGATGTTAGGAAATTTTCGCCCCCCCCCATATGTCAGTGACCCCCGGGGAAGGAAATGCTCTCTAGTTTTTGGAATAGAGACTGTCTAAAGAGACTAACCTAGGGCTTTCTACATGGTCTGCAGAACTTTGTGTTGGATTATGAAGATCCAGTCTCTGTGCTTTTGATACTGTTGTGAATTTACATAAAATGTGTATCCAGCAGGGAGCTGTCTTTCTTCTTATACATTTTGAAAAGCAGCTATTTAGAAGACCTCTCTAATTTCAATGTTCATTTGAAAGTAACAGAAGCGTTATTGTTATATTCAACTTCCTTCAATAAAGTGGATGGCATTACCACATTTAGAAGCAGGGATGAATAAAAGAGTAACAAAATGTCTTCAACCACAGAGATTTTGGTGGTGACAGAATAAACACATTTGTCAATAAAATATTCAGAAAACATATTAAAGTGATACTTTATTAAATAAAAAATTACATAATTTCTAGATCTGAAGGCATAAATCTGATGAAATTGATATAATGAAATATTTTAGCCTTCAATCAAAGTCCAACAACTAGACTAGTTTACTGTCACTAGAACTCCCCAAGTGACAATAAGTCAGTGTTCCCTTGTGATAAGATCATTAGAAGTTAATGAAAGATATATTGTAAATAATTTTCTATGTTGTATTAGGAGCTATGGCCACTTACTAAGATAACTTTATCATGGCAAAATAGAAATACCATGTTCCAGTAGAAACAAGTTTTGAGTTGATATTTTCTGAGACACCTACTCTATGACTGTGGTCCACTCATCAAATTGGACTTCTGCAAATATCAGGTAATAAATTAAACCTGGGTATATGTCTTGTGCATGAGTAGGTCACTGGGTCTACAGAATCTATCTGTCATTAATTCTCTTGTTCCTGAATTGGAGTTAACTTATTGGATACAAGCAGATTATTCATATTGGCTATCTAAACCATTGACTCGGGGCTATGATTTTAAAAAGTACTAAATGGAAGCCCCATTAGTCTTTTTTTTTTCTTAACCAGGATAATTTTTTTTAAAAAAGCACCACATAGCTGGGATAATTCAATAAATTAATGTCATTAGAATACACAAACATACACTTTGAAGAAGGAGGGTGATAGTATCTATCACATTATCAATTCAATTACATGTTTGGTCTGTGCAGAGGTTTATTAGCTTCTAAGAATGGCCACGGGTTGTAGTAAAATTTTACTTGGGAATGATTTCAATTGTGGCTGCAGTTTCAGGTGTGGTATTTTTACATGCAAGGTCTCTATGACTAAATATAAAACCATTGATCTGTTAATTGCTCTTTTCACATCATTAAGAAAATCTCCCAGAAACAGTTTTTTTTAACTTAGAAAACAAAACAATACATTGTCATGGACTGCTGCAGATCTATATCAACCCTCAATCTGTCTGCGTTACAAAGATCTTAGTTTAATTGACATAACACAAACTGTAATACAGATTACCTTTTACATTGATAGTAGCATGTTGACTAGACCTGAGAAGGAGGGACTAGAAAATAAGTTAGCAAATAAGATGTGACACATGCATGATAAAGGGTGAGACATAAATGCCATAGAAATTTAGGATCCTTCCACTCCAGTGAAATTTCTCAGCGTGTAATATTCTAAAAAACTGTTATGATACTCTTCACAAATTGGGAGATAAGTTGTTGCTATTTACACAACCTATAACAAAACCATAGAATCCCTTGGTTGGGCCCCTTACATTTTAGAGCAGCATAGACTACATTCAGGTAGTTATAAGACTGTAGGTTCTGAGTAGAACTCTGAGCAAGAAAAAGTTCTGCACAAATTCCAGAGCTGAATGCTTGCTTCTTTCTGACTGGTCCTAAAACCTAGCAGATCTAATTGTACTTTAACAGTTTTAAGTAGGTATGTCATATTAAACCTCTGAAAAGCCTCAATAGAAGATTCATAGAGAAGATTCAGGGGGATTTTGGATCATCTTATGATCTGTGAGATACTCTTCATAGTCTGCTATTAGGCCTTAAAAACATAATGCCTGTCTTTTGGTTATAAGATGCCAACGTAACCTGAGGTGCCTATTATAAACTGTAACTAATCTATCACATTACAAGCTTTGGATTAATGAAAATGCAGCTTTTAATTGAAAAGTGTATATGTACTCTTGGCTAAGCAAAAGCAGTACCCCAGGCTCAAGTAGATTTTATAAGTATGTTTCTCATTCTCCCATGGTATCACCTCCTAGCTTCCCACTTTTCTGCTTCAAACCACATCTACCTTCTCATGGGGGAGTTCTTGGAATGTCTGTTAGAACATTTTAGAAAGTCTGGGTTCTGCACAGTATTTTGGTTCTAACTGGGAATGGGCTGAGACAGCATCAGAAGCATCTCTAAAAGACACCAGCAAAGTTAATGCATTTGTTAGTCTTCATTGTCTGAACAGAATTGGCAAAATGTAACTATTGTACTTATGATTGAGAAGCAATGTTTTGCTTGGATAGTCAGGAATTGGAGAATCACAGGTTGGTGATATCTCTGAAAATGATACTGGGAATTTCAGATTGACATTTTGGAATTGGAATGGAATACATATATATTAATATTATGCATACATATCACACACATACATGTATATATGGACAAACAAGTATATAGAAATATTTTTATCACAAACATATACGTATGCCAATATATATTTTCAACTTCATCTAAAATTATTCATTTATATATATGAATACATATTCATATACACAGCACACACACACATATATATTATGGATATGGAAAGCTCACCATATATATATACATATCTATATGTATGTTTATGGAAGGCTCATATTTAGAGGGAGACTTCCATATCCACAGAATTCATAGCTATAGATTTAACCAACCATGAATTGAAAACATTTAGGTAAAACAAAAAAACAAACACAGCAATAAAAATAGCACAAATAAAAGAATATAGTATAACAACTATTTACATAGCATCTACTTTGTATAAGGGATTAAAAGTAATCTAGAGATGGTTTAAGTATATGAGAAATTGGCCTACATGTCATTTACCAAATATGAGTTTTATGGCTACAATTTGTGCTTCTGTTCATAGCACCTAGAAGAGTACCTGGTTCAAAAATGATTTCTTAAATAAAGGAGAGGATAATTATTATAGTTGATGATACACTGAATTCTTAAAACGTGCTAATATAAAAATGCTATGCAATTTTATTAAATTTATATTGATAAATAATAGTTGTATGTATTTATGGAGTCCATGCAATTTTTGATACAAGTATACAGTGTGTAATAATGAAAGTAGGGTAATTAGAATATCCATCATGTAAATATTTGTCATTTCTTTGTAGTGGGAACATTCCAAATCTTCTAGCTATTTTAAAATATACAATAAATTATTTTACTATAGTTAACTTATTTTTGCATTGAATGCTAGAATTTATTTCTTCTATCTAACTGTATTTTTTTACCCGTTTGTCAATGCTCATTACCCTTCCTAGCCTCTGGTAACCACCACTCAAATATTTTAGCTCTTGCATATAAATGAGAACATGCAGTATTTGTCTTTCTGTGTCTGGCTTATTTCATTTAACTTTATATCCTCTAATTCCATCCATGTTGCCACAAATGATAGGATTTCATTCTTTTTAGGCGGATTAGTATTTCATTTTGTATATATACCACTTTTTCCTTACCCATTCATTCACTGAGGGACACTGAGGTTAATTCTGTATCTTGGCTATTGTGGATAGTGCTGCAATAAACATAAAAGCATAGCTATCTCTCTATATGCTGATTTTCTTTCTTTAGGATATGTAACAGGTAATGGGATCGCTGGTTGTGTAATAGTTCTATTTTCAGTTTTTTTGAGAAACCTCCATACTGTTCTCCACAAGGGCTGCACTAATTTATATTCCCACCAACATACGAGCATTCCCTTTTCTTCACATTCACTCTGGGATTTTGTATAAGGGACTTGAGCATCCACAGATTTTGTTGTCTGCATATTATATTTGAATGAATCCCCTCAGTCTCTTGTGGATACTAAAGGGAAATCATGTACATATAGACATATATAATATCTAGATATAGTGAATATAAATATATATAAATACATATGTAGGGAAAAGTATATGATACAAACACTGGAATGATATCTTTGTTGTCTACCTCTCCATGTCATTCAAGTTTGACTTTCATAAAGAAATCTTTTATGAGACTTTACGTCATTTCTTCCTTGATAACTTCATGAGAATTACCAAGCCCCTACTCTATTTCTCCTCTATCTGTATTTATTAATATAAATGATGTTACATATTTATGCTTTCATTGTTTATATATTCATTAACCGAATATCAGTTTTAAGGCTTCAGTTTTTGCCTTTCTTCTTAGCACCTAAAAGAGTACTTGACTCAAAAATTATTATTTTTTTTTAAATTATACTTTAAGTTCTGAGGTACATGTGCAGATTTTGTAGGTTTGTTACATAGGTATACATGTGCCATGGTGGTTTGCTGCGTCCATTCCCCGGTCATCTACATTAGGTGTTTCTCCTAATGTTATCCCTTCCCTAGCCACCTGCACCCCTTGACAGGCTCTGGTGTGTGATGTTCACCTCCCTGTGTCCATGTGTTCTCACTGTTTAACTCCCACTTATGAGTGAGAACATGTGGTGTTTGGTTTTCTGTTCTTGTGTCAGTTTACTTCTTAGGTAAAGGAGATGATGCTTACAGTTGACAACACATTCTTTAAAAATGCTAAGAGTGGATATAAAGTGCTCTCACCACAAAAATATCTGTAAAAGGTAATGCATATAACAATTAGCTGTATTTAATCATTCAGCAATGTATACTTCATAACATATTGTACACAATAAATATATACAATTTTATCTGTAAATTTAAAAAATAAGAACAAGATGAGTAGTAATTAATGTTGTTCTGACTCTGCCACCAATTAGGTTTGAGCTGTTTGGCGTGCTTTATCATTTTACCAATGTTAGTTTTGTCACCTGAAAAATGGTGATAAGTATCTCCACAGAAAAATAATTTATTTGCATAGTGACTTACTGTATTTAAAAAGAACTTATATGAATTCTTAGTATTTGCCTATAGATTCTGACAATATCTTTTTATTCCCAGTCACTTTAGTCATTGTATGCCAGTGCGTGCTAATTTGCATGTTTGCTTCAAGATTATGAACATTTACTTAAGGATAAATCTTCAAGTTATCAGTAATGTATTATACACATTATATGTTTAGAGATATTTGAAGACTTTAAAATAACTATAATCCAGAATTTTCCTTATTCTACCAATTTATCTCAATTCAAACATTACTTTAGCAGAGTTTATTTATTTATTATTTTTCTCTGCTTTGAATTTCTGTATTTAAACTGCATGGGACATCAAGCTGTGCTTTCAATTAACTCAGAAAAATCTTCCACTTGCAGCAGCAAGGAGTCCCATCACAGAGGGTAATATCCACAATCTGTTTTTCATCTTATAATTATACAAGAAATCTTCTAACAATAGAATGCTCACAAGAGACACAATCTAGTATAATCACACATAGATGCAGATCAGTTGAAATGTCTCACTTTTTGTTGTCTTCATTTTTTAGACGAGCTAACTTCTTTTGGAAGATTTGACTCAGAGGCAAATAAACATTTAAGAAACATATATATTGGTTCTATATCTTGTTGAATTGTATCTTTGATTTTGTTTGCCTTAAATGATGATAATTTTCTATTCTATTAAATGTTGTTCTGCGTATAATGTAGTTAAATGCACTTGCTCTTGGAGCATGGCTTTGCATTCGATGTTCATTTACTGTCATCTACTGTATTCCATTGGGTAATTTACTAGACATTTATGGGCCATAATTTCACCATCTGTAAAATGAAATAATAGTAACAACTAATTAAATTATAATTTTTAAAGATAAGCAATATACCAGGTAAAACATTCCTGAAGAAATATATATTTGCTTTTAATATTTTCTTGCATAGTCTCCCTATTCAAGTATATGAAGTTTCAACCACTTTCTCACTTTGGAAACACAAATGTAGATTTGACTTCATATAAAGTTTATTATTTAAGTCACTCTGTTATCATAGTGATGGAAATCTAATCAATTCAGTCAAGAATTCTTTGTAAATTAAAGCAAACTTCGTAGTTTGGCAAGAGGCTCTTTCATCTTTGGTGTATTACCTTCATCCACCCCACTTGCATAGCCTTCCTTCTATGGTAACTTTAGCTGCAGCAAAGCCAAATGGGCTTAGTTTCCCCAAAGTACCATTTTCAGTCTTTCATGATGTATTCATTTAATATGAAATGCCAAACTTAAGTTTAGAAAACTCCTTCTTCAAACTCCTATAGCACTGTGATCTTCTATGAGTAAGATATTATATAAAACAAGCTTTCTACAACTGTTTTTACTCTTTCTCATAAACCTATGTTATAATAGCTACATCTACTTCATTTTTAATCTCTTTCACTAAACTATGAAAAGGATAAGGATGTTTTTCACTTACGTATCTCCAGTTTTTACGATATTAATGAATATATTATATTCAATACCTATTTTAAAATAAATATCTGGTACTTTGGACAGTGGAGATATTTTGACAGACTCTTTGGCTTTGGATTGGTGCTATATGTGCAAAATAAGCTTTGTCTATGCAATTTTTTGACATTCTATTTATGAATTTTAACATACAAATGGAAATACACAATAGATGTATACAACTTGATGTGTTTGGCAAAAAATACACATTCATTCCATTAAATTTCTTGACTCATGATTTTAAAGTCTATTTTATCCCTTGTAGTGTTATGAATAATTTGAAGGCACATATGTAAGAAGTGAATAAGCTGAATTTCTTAACATACACCCAAAGAAAAAGTCAACAAGAAAGAGGGAAAGAAAACAGACGCCTCTGTTGGGGTTTCAAGTATTTGAAGAAAAGGGTCAGCACTGAGATGTTGGAGTAACTAAATGCAATAGGATATATGCATTTGTCTAATATTAAGAAAAAGAAAAGACAGATATGTTGTTGGCTCTGAACTGCTACAGAGAAATCTTTTTAAATCTGAAAGTATGGCCAGTGCAACTGGATTTAAAACATAAATATCTCCCACTTAAAGTTGGCTACATCTCTTTGTGTATGTAACAGTTCATGTTACATTTATTGCTGTTTTCTCTTTAATCACCTGGAGGTTTTGCAGATTTGTTTTTCTTAGGTTTATATTTTACATAGGAAGCAGTAGGTATCCATATGAAAAATATAAAATTTTTGAAGAAAACTCTAGTTACTCTTAACAGCTTTGTTTATGAGTCAGAGTTAAACTTGTAAGAAGGGATAAGAATGAAATAAATTGAAAGTATAAATTAAGATCTATAAAATTCTTACAATTTCAAATAAAACTGCCATAGGTATGTTTGTCCTATAGAGTCCTGCTACTTACTTGCTTTCACCTTCTTTTCTTCCTGCCTTTATTGAATTATTTAAAGTATCTATTGCATACAACCAAGGATCTGTCAAGCATTAGGTATACAAAGTGTACAAGAGAGAGAGTCTTTTAACATTTGGACCTGGGATTTAAAAGAGAAATGAGTTAATAACGGATACTCAGGGTGGTGCATAAAGGTCAAATATAATAAGGTATAAAGACATACAGTTCAGAGAGAACACGGAATGTTAACAAATGTGAAACAAGTTTGATATGGCTGAAAAACAGATAATGACTGGGACAGACGTTAGTCTAGAGAGAAAAGCTGAAATCAAGATATGGCATCACTTGTATGGTTGTTTTTTTTTTGTTGTTGTTGTTTCAAGTTTAGCCATCATCTGAAGGGAAATGAGTAACTACCAAAAAATTTCAATTAGGTAAATGGCATTTTCAAATATGGATCACAGAAAAAATTACTCTTCCTACAAAAATGGTTAAATACTTGGAAAGTAGTTATGTTGTAATTGCAAAAGTATTGAGTAGAGACATGATGATTATTCATAACCAGGATAGGACAGTAGAAACAGAGAACTGGACTTATTCAAAATTTAATTACAAAGTTCTGGTAATTAAAAATGAGAGAACCAGGAAACAAAAGTTTAATAAGAATGTCCCAGATGTTAATAAATACATATTTTTAAATAACAAACATTTGTGAAGTAAATATTAACCAGAACACAGCTGAAATGGGGATACAAAAGCTAAATAAAACTTCTTAAATAAGTGCTTAAAAGAACAATGCATTATGATTAATTCATCAGGTGGTTCAATTCCATAATAACCACCATAATATGACAACTTTTATGTAACTCTTAAATATTGAGGAACATATTAAATAATATTAGTAAGCATGTGCTAGATTTGATCAACAAAACTTACAATGTTAACTGGTTATAGAAAGATCTCAAGGAGAATATACATATTCTGATAAATATTAATCATCTAATAGGCTATGAAACACTCAACTGAAAAACTGATTTTGGATTTAGAATATCTTTAAGTTAGTCATTAATAAGAAAACAAAGCAAAATATATACTCATGCAAAGATAATAGTAAAAAGACAAAATTGCTGTGAGGTAATATATTTGCTTCATATATAACTGAGAGGCAATTAGTGTTTAGAATTTATATAAAATTCTTATCAATTTGAAAAAATGATCAAAACAAATAATTTGGAAAATAATTTTGTCATTCTCTTTTCAAATGTGTATAGTTTCAATATTTTGCTGATAGGGTTTGGATCTCTGTCTTCGCCCAAATCTCATGTCATATTGTAACTCCCAATGTTGGAGGTGGGGGCATATGAGAGGTGATTGGATCATTGTGGTGGTTTCTTGTGATTTAACACCATCTCCCTTCATATTGTGCTTCTTGTGATAGTGAGCTATCACGAAATCTGGTCATTTGAAAGTGTGTGACACATCCTCCCACTTGCTTCTGTTGTGGGCATGTAAACTGCCTCACTCCCTCTTTGCCTTCTGCCATGACTAGAACCTTCCTGAGGCCTCCCCAGAAGCAGATGCCACCATGCTTCCTGTATAGCCTGCAGAACCATGAGCCAATTAAACTTATTTATCAGAGTCTCAGGTATTTCTTTATAGCAATGTGAGAATGGACTAATACAGACAATTGGTACCAAGGAGTGGGGCACTGACAGAAAGTTACCAGAAAATGTGGAAGCAGGTTTGGAATTGGGGAAATGGGCAGAGGTTAGAAGAGTTTGGAGGGCTCAGCAGAAGACAGCAAGTTGAGGAAACATTGGGAACTTTTTAGATATTTGTTAAATTGTGAATGAAATGCAGTTAGTGATATGCACAAGAAAGTCAAGGCTGAGGAGGTCTCTGATGAAACTGAGGAACTTATTGGGAACTGAAACACAGGTCACTTTTGTCATGCTTTAGCAAAGAGCCTGGCTGTACTGTGGCTATGCTCCAGGGATCTGTGGAACTTTGAATTTGAGAGATAATTTAAGGTATCTAGTGTAAAAAAAATTTACAAGTGGCAAAGTGTCAATAATTAACCTGGCTCCTCTAACAACCTATGCTCATAGTCATGAGCAAAGAAATGACCTGAAATTGGAACTTATATTTAAAAGAAAAACAGAGCATAACATTTGGAAAATTTGCAGTTTGGTCTTGTGGTAGAAAATAAAAATCTATTATCACAGCAGAAAGTCAAACAGGCTGTCAAAATTTACATTACTAAAAGGAAGGCAAGCTCTGATAGCCAAGACAGTGGGAAAGGCCTTGAACACATTTCAGAGATCTTCCTGGTGTCCCCTCTCATCACAGAACTGGAGGCCTAGGAGGAAAGAATGGTTTCTTGGGCCAAGTCCAGGGCCCTGCTGCCCTGTGCAGCCTCAGGACATACATGGCTCCCTGCACCCTGGCTGCTCCACTGTGGTTCAAAGGGGCCCAGGTATAGCTGAGGCCACTGCTTCAGAGTGTGCAAGCTGTAAGCTTTTGTACTTCCACGTGGTGTTAAGCCTTTTGGTACATATACTACAAGAGTTGAGGCTTAGGATCCTCTAGCTAGATTTCAGAGGCTCTATGAAAAAACCTGGATGTACAGGCAGAAGTTTGCTGCAGGGGTGGAGCCCAGATGGAGAACCCTTAAGAGGATAGTGTGGAAGGAAAATGTGGGGTTGGAGTCCATTCACAGAGTCTCCACTGGAGCACTGCCTAGTGACCATCCTTAAGACCCTGGAATGGTAGATACAGAAGCTCTTGAGAACAGCTGTGGGGCCTGAACCCTGCAAAGCCACAGGGGTGTGGCTGCCCAAGGGCTTACAAGCTGACCCCTGGCATCATTGTGCCCTGGATATGAGACATGGAGTCAAAGGAGATTCTTTTGGCGTTTTACATTTTAATGACTTTCCTGCTGTGTTTTGGGACTTGCATGGGGCCTATAACCCTTTTCTTTTGGTTGATCTTGCCTTTTTGCAATTGGAGTATTTACCCAATGCCTATATCCCCATTGTCCTTGGGAGTAACTAACTTGTTTATTTTTAATTTTTTTTTTTATTTTACACGCTTATAGGCAGAAGAGTCTTGCCTTGTCTAAGAAGAGACTTGGGATTTTGGACTTTTGAGTTAATGCTGAAACGAGTTACGACTCTGTGGAACTGTTGGGAAGGCATGATTGTATTTTGAAACATGAGAATGACATGACATTTTGAAAGGGCTGTGGCAGAACAATGTGGTTTGGATCTGTGTCCCTGCAAGAGTATCATGTTCAATGGCCACACTCAGTGTTGGAGGTGGGGCCTAGTGGGAAGCTGATTGGATCATGAGGTTGTTTGCTCATGATTTAACACCATCCCACTTGGTGATATTCTCATGATAGTTGAGTTCTCATAAGATTTGGTCATTTAAAAGTGTGTGTTACTTCCCTGCCCTCTCTGTCTTCCTCCTGCTCCTGCCATGTAAGTGCCTTGCTCCTCTTTTGCATTTGGGCTTTCTTGGTAGCTTCCTGAGACCTCCCCAAAGGCAGAAGCCATGATAATTCCTGAAGAGTCTGCAGAATCATAAGTCAATTGAACCTTTTTATAAATTATCCAGTCTCAGATACTTTTTTATAGCAGTGTGAGAATGACTAATACACTTGCATTTGAATATGAACATAACCATAAAAATATACATAGCAGTGTTTTTTTCATTAGACTTTAAATTTTGGGATACATGTGCAGAACATGCAGGTTTCTCATATAGGCATAAAAGTGCTGTGATGGTTTGCTGCATTCATCACCCCATCATCTACATTAGGTATTTCTCCCAATGCTATCCCTCCTCTAAACCCCATCCCCTGCCATCCCTCCCATAGTCCTCCACCTCACAAAAGGCCCCTGTGTGTGATGTTTCCCTCCCTGTGTCCATGTGTTCTCATGGTTCAACACCCACTTGTGAGTGAGAACATGCGGTGTTCGGTTTTCTCTTCTTGTGTAAGTTTGCTGAGAATGATAGTTTCCAGCTTTATTAATGTCCCTGCAAAAGACACAAGCGTTTTCTTTTTTATGGCTGAATAGTATTTCACGGTGTGTATGTGCCATATTTTCTTGATCCAGTCTATCATTGATGGGCATTTGGGTTTGTTCCAAGCTTTTGCTATTGTGAACACTGGTACAATAAACATATGTGTGCCTGTGTCTTTATAGTAGAATGATTTATAATCCTTTGGGTATATACCCAGTAATGGGATTGCTGGGTCAAATGGTATTTCTAGTTGTAGATCCTTGAGGAATTGCCACAGTGTCTTCCACATGGTTGAATTAATTTATACTCCAACAGTGTAAAAATGTTCTTATTTATCCACATCCTCTCTAGCATCTATTGTCTCCTGATTTTTTTCATGATCGCCATTCTAACTGGTGTGAAATGGTATCTCAATGTGGTTTTGATTTGCATTTCTCTAATGATCAGTGATGATGAGCATTTTTTCATATGTTTGTTGGCTGCATAAATGTCTTTTTTGGGAAGTGTCCATTTATATCCTTCATCCACTTTTTGATGGGTTTGTTTTTTCTTGGTAAATTTGTTTAAGGTCTCCATAGATTAGGGATATTAGCCCTTTGTCAGATGGGTAGATTACAAAAAATTTTTCCCATCATGTTCATGTCTGGTTCACTCTAATGATAGTTTCTTTTGCTGTGCAGAAGTTCTTTAGTTTAATTAGATCCTATTTGTCAAAATGTTTTTTGTTGCCATTTCTTTTTGTGTTTAGTCAAGAAGTCCTTGCCCATGCCAATGTCCTAAATGGTATTGCATATTCTTTTTAGGGTTTTTATGGTATTAGGATGAACTAAAGATTTAAAAATAAAACCTGGGTTAATTTTTGTATAAGGTATAAAGAAGGGATCCGGTTTCGGCTGTCTGCATATGGCTAGCCAGTTTTCCCAACACCAGTTATTAAATAGGGAATCCTCTCCCCATTGGTTGTTTTTGTCAGGATTGTCAAAAGATCAGATGGTTGTAAATGTGTGGCATTCCTTCTGAGGCCTCTGTTTTGTTTAATTGGTCTACAACTCTGTTTTGGTTCCAGTATGATGCCATTTTGTTCACTGTAGCATTGTAGTATAGTTTGAAGTCATGTAGCACGATGCCTCCAGATTTTTTTTCCTTAAAATTATCTTGGCTATATGGGCTCTTTTTTTGGTTCCATATGAAGTTTAAGGTGTTTTTTTCTAGCTCTGTGAAGAAAATCAATGGTAGCTTGATGGGGATAACATTGAATCTATACATTACTTTGGGATGTATGGCCATTTTCATGATATTGATTTTTCCTAACCATGAGCCTGGAAGGTTTTTCCACCTGTTTGTGTCCTCTCTTATTTCATTGAGAAGTAGCTTGTAGTTCTTCTTGAGAAGGTCCTTCACATCCCTTGTTAGTTGTATTCCTAGATATTTTATTCTCTTTGTAGCAATTGTGAACAGTTTACTCATGATTTGACTCTCTGTTTGTCTGATATTGGTGTATAGGAATGTTTGTGATCTTTGCACAATGATTTTGTATCCGGAGATTTTGCTGAAGTTGCTTATCAGCTTAAGGAGATTTGGGGCTGAAACTATGGGGCCTTCTAATATACAATTTGACTTCTTCTTTTCCTAATTGAATACCCTTTATTTATTTTTCTTGCCTGATTGCCCTGGTCAGTATTCTAATACTATGTTGAATAGGAGTGGTGAGAGAGAGAGCATTCTTGTCTTGTGCCACTTTTCAAAGGGAATGCTTCCAGTTTTTGCCCATTCAGTATGATATTGGCTGTGAAACTGTCATAAATTGCTGTTTTTATTTTGAGATATGTTCCACTGATACCTAGTTTATTGAGAGTTTTTAGCATAAAGGAATTTAAATTTTGTTGAAGGCCTTCTCTGCATCCATTGAGATAACCATGTGGTATTTGTCTTTAATTCTGTTTATGTGATGGCTACCACAAAAGAAATGAGGAAAGATTTAAAATTGACACCCTAATGTCATGATTAAAAGAACTAGAGGAGCAAGATAAAACAAATTCAAGAGTTAAAGAAGAAAATAAATAAGAGTAGAACTGAAGGAGATAAAGACACAAAAAATACTTCAATAAATCAATGAATTCAGCAGCTGTTTTTCTTTGAAAAGATCAACACAGTAGACCGTTAACCAGACTAATGAAGAAAAGAGAGAAGAATCAAATAGATGCAATAAGAATGATAAAAGTGTTATCACCACTGATCCCACAGAAATACAAACTACCATCAGAGATGACTATAGACACCTCCATGCAGATAAACCAGTAAATCTAGAAGAAATGGATAAATTTCTGGACACTTACACTGTCCCAAGACTAAACCAGGAAGACGTTGAATCACTGAATAGGCCAATAACAGGGTCTGAAATTGAGGCAGAAATTAATAGTCTACCTACCAAAAAAACTCCAAGACCAGAGTGGTTCAGAGCCAAATTCTACCAGAAGTACAAGGAGGAGTTGCTACCATTCCTTCCAAAACTATGCCAAACAATACAAAAAGAGGGGATTCTTCCCAACTCATTTTATGAGACCAACATCATCCTAATACCAAAACCTGGCAGAGACACAACTAAAAAAGAAATTTTCAGGCCAATATCCATGATGAACACTGATGCAAAAGTCCTCAATAAAATACTGGCAAACTGAATCCAACAGCATATCAA